AATTGCTTCCTCATCCTTTTATGCCGTTTGACAGCCTTTGCACATTCCATCGGACAAGATTGCCATTCATAAAAGGAAAAAACGCATCCCTTCACTTTAGACTTCAACCATAAAAAGGTTTTTACTTGCACCCTTTCCAGCATTTTCTCTGGAATTCTTTCATCTTCTCGAAATATCTGAGTATTCCTTCTATACCATACATACCAAGCAGCTGCCAGAAAAAAACAAGAGCCCATCTCCTTTCCTACTGTACTGCCCAACACATCTATTGAAAAATCAGCCACTCCCATAACTGTATTGGGTAAAACACTCTCCAAACCCCACCAATTCAACACCTCTACCCACACTAACCATGCTTTATAACATATACAAAATAAGTGATTAGCCTCCTCCACTATCCCACTACAAAATTCACAGTAAATACCTTCCTCTTGCAATTGCACCCCACGCTTTTGAAGATTTTCCTTAGTTGGAAGTCTATTTAAGCACAATCGCCACCCAAAAAAAGCAACTTTGGATGGTACCAACCGGCACCATATTAATTTACACCTCTGGTCCTCCAATACTCCTTTCATAGAATCTAAATAGTCGTAGGCTATCTTTACAACATATCTGCCATCCATCGCATGCCTCCACTTCCAAACATCCCCAACCCCCTCCTTCACTTGAACACCCTCCAGCGCCCTCTCCAGCACCACCTCCTCATCTTTCTCATGCCCTATGGTACCTCTCCTCCACTCAACACGCCAACACCATCTACCCTTATTCCATCTTCCCATTTCATAAACCTTTCCTTCCTTCTTAACCGATAGAGCGTATAATCTTGGACATAAGTCCCTAAGAGTTTTATCTCCAACCCACTGCTCTAGCCAAAAATCCACCTTATTTCCCTCACCCATTTCCCACTTGAACCCCTCCCCTAGCATATTCTTTAGTCTCGAAGATTGACCCCCCATTCTAATAATATCCCTCCACAACTTTGACACCCTCGGGCCCTCAATCGTTGTAATATCGACCTCACTCCTACCTCCATAATATTTCTCCCTCACCACCCTTTTCCATAAGTTCTCAACCCCATCACCTAATCTATACCACCACTTTCCTAACAAAACCCAATTTTTCCTACGCATATCTGGTACCCCTAAACCCCCCTTCACCTTATCACGACAAATATATTCCCATTTCACCCATGAAATCTTTTTATTTAAATCTGGCCCACCCCATAGGAATCTCCTTTGAATACTAATCAGCTCCACAAGAACAGACTTTGGTAGTAAAAACAGAGACATATAAAAAATAGGTAACGCAGAGAGTACCGAGTTCAGTAGGGTTAGGCGACCTCCAAAGGAAAGAGTAGTAGCCTTCCAGACAGCCAGCTTTGCACGAAATTTATTCAGCATCGGCTCCCACACCTTCTTTCTTCCGGATTTACTGCCAATGGGCAATCCCAAATAAAGAAAAGGTGTTTGACCTACTCCACATCGTAGCATACCTGCTGATCCCTTTAACCATCCCTCCGACACATTATATCCATAGATACTGCTATTGTTAAAATTTATCCACAAACCAAACATAAGTTCAAACCATCTTAAAACATCCTTCACCATTCGTATATTCTCAGCATCCGCTCTACCCATAATTATTGTATCATCGGCGAACTGAAGTAAAGACACGGTCATCCCTTTCTTTCCAATCTCGATTCCATGTAGCATTCCTTCCGCCACTGCTTTCTGTACCAAGCCTTGTAACCCCTCACCTATCATCAAGAAAAGAAAAGGAGATAAAGGATCCCCTTGACGTAATCCTTTACCAACCTCAAATTCCCTTGTCGGGCTTCCATTTACCAAAATCGAAGTTCTCACCGTTGAAAGGCACTCCATAATCCATCCTCTCCACTTTGTTCCAAACCCAAAAGTATCCATCATCCAGTCCAAGAAGGACCAATCCACGCAGTCATATGCCTTTTCAAAATCTGCCTTTTCAAAATCTGCCTTAAAGACAAAGGCTAGCTGTTTCCTGTTCTTTATCTCATCTACTACCTCATTCAACACCAATACACTATCAACCAATTGGCGACCCCCCACGAAAGCGGATTGAGTTTCACTCACTATTTTTGGCATCACCGATTTCAATCTATTAGCCAATACCTTCGCTAATAATTTATAAACACATCCTATCAAGCTAATGGGTCTATACTCCTTTAAATTTGCAGCATTCAATTTTTTAGGGACCAAAGCCAAAAAAGAAGAGTTTAGACCCCTCACCAGTTTACCATTCCGGTGGAATTCCGAGAAAAAACTGATGAAGTCCTCCTTAATGCAATGCCACGCAAATTTAAGAAAATTGAAGTTGTACCCATCCGGTTCCGGTGCCTTTGAACCGTCACAGCTCCTTAAACCTTCCTCAATTTCTTCAATCGAAAAAGGTCTTTCTAGCCATTCTTTTTTCTCCTCTGAAATCTTTTGAAATTTGATACCCTCGGGCTTGGGTCTGTTCCATGGGTCACCTTTGAACAAATTCCTGAAATATTTGACAATTTAGTCTTTGACTGTTTCTGGGTCTTCAATCCACTCCCCCTCACGCATTAAGCCAGCAATATTATTTTGCGCCCTTATCCCGTTAGCCACTTTATGGAAGAAACGGGTATTCGCGTCACCCTCTCTTATCCATCTGCTCCTTGACTTCTGCTTCCAGATTAGTTCCCTTTTTCTCAAAACATCCCACATCTCAGAGAACCCTTCTTGCCTTTTAACAATTTTTAATTCCTCCAGATCAGCTACCTCATTCTGCATATCAACCTGCTCTATTTTTTTAACAGCTTGCACATACTGGGCTTCCATGTTTCCAAATACATCCTTGTTCCATCCTTTTAAGAACTCTTTCAACAGTTTTAACTTTTGTTTGCATTTGTACCCTGCAAACCCCTCCACTGCCATCTCTCTCCACTTATCTTCTACAGCCTTCTTGAATCCTAGATGTTGTTGCCATGCATCTAAGACTCTAAAAGTCCTCGGTCCCCAATCTGTTGATTTGGATTTCAACACCATTGCACAATGATCAGAAATGTTTCTTGGCAACCCCTGCTGTATCCATTCTCCTCCCCTATTATACATCTCAGTACTCAACAAGAATCTGTCTAGTCTGCTTTTTGTTGTTCCATCTGGTTTATACCATGTATATCATCTATTTGTCAATTTAACATCCACCAGGCCTGTTGTTACAATGAACTCCTCAAAATCCCACATATCTGAACTCACCCCTGTTTTCCCTCGCCTCTCATGAATTTCAATTCTTAATTTTGGTATTTCGTCAAATTAAATAAGATCCTTGATAAAATATTGCATCAACTTCACCGTTAGCAATTGGTAATTATTTATCAAGGTCCTTTTTCCCTTCTTTGGAATAGATCTTCTCTTTCTTTTAATTTCATGGTGGATATAATTCTTAGATGTAAATCTCAAATCTATATCATAACTAGCACATTCGTGAGTTTGCCAATCAAGTTTGAATTATCAACTATCTCTTTTGCTTATGTGGGTATGAAGGGTCAGGCAAAGGAATGGTTATGAACTCATAACATCAATGCACCTCCTTCCCCACCAGCCTATTTGCTTGGCCGGCTCCCTTCACTTTGCTCCTCTTTTTCTTAGAATTCATTAGCACGCACTTTACTAGTGCTTGTATTTAAATGCATGGACCTATTCGAACTTCTAACTTCATATATTTAGTTGGTTGGGCTCTATATTTTGTTCAAGAATGGAGGGGCAATGGAACTCGTTTTCAACCAAGGTGCTTAACTCTATTAATCCTTTTTGTTTGTGAGTGGTTATTGACGAAGTTTTTAGCTAAATTTATTCAATTGTATTGTTGGTTGATATTTGAAAATTTTTGGGTTTAGAGGTGATAAGGCCTGGAAGTGTACAATCTTCTTTTGCTTTGCACACCACCTATTCCATAAATTACCTCATTGGGTTATGATTTGAGTTTTTTGACATAGTACTTTAAACAGGGAGAGAAATAGGAGTATTGACATAGACAACTAAAATTGTCTATTAAATGTTTGTAAAAATATTTCAATAAGAAGAACTAATATCAATTTAATTTTAAATTCATAATAATTTAATTTATCCAAATTATGTATTTTAATAAATACTTAAAATACATATATTCTAAATACATGTATATATACTCATCAAATTCAAATTTAAGTTTCTAAAGACAACCTTAGAGAATTTGGGACGATAAACATAATTTACCCTTTAGACAATTTTTTATGAATTAGGGTTTTGAGCATTGCCATTAAAGCCATATCCTCTGAAGGGGTCTGTTTTCCACTCTCAAGCTTTTGCGCGACACTGCAAAGAGAGAGATAGAAGGCAATAATGGGCAAAAAGGACAGCATGAAAAGCATTGATTCTTATTTTTGAAGACAGAATGCCAGAAGAGGAGGGAGATGTACTTTCTGAGGAGGAAGTATGCAATTAAGGTCTAAAGTTTAGATTAATTAGGATGAATACCTCAGTGTTAAATTCATTAATGTCCCAACCTGAGGATATTTCTTTCACATTAGTTGTTTTCATTTTTACAACTCTCAATTCTTAATCCTTCCTATTCTCATGAGTTATTGGACTTGTAATTGATTACTTTAAATTTGCTATGAAAGTTTCTCAGAAATCTAAAATCCCCTCCCCCTTCTATTTTTTGGTGAGTAAAGGTGCAAATAATGATTCAAACTTTGTACTTTTTTCTATTTAAGAATGTTAACTTTATCAATTTTTAAATAAAAATGTCAACTTTCAATATTTTCTAAATAACAATGTCAACTTTCAACATTTTCTATTTAAGAATATCAACTTTCAAATTTTTATATTTAAGGATTATTTAAATAGTGATGCTGACGTGGCTAACATTGAAAGTTGATATCCTTAAATACAAAAATGTTGAAAGTTGACATCCTTATTTAGAAAAAATTGAAAGTTGACATCTTTATTTAAAAATGGTTAAATGCTAAATTTGGTCCCTCAACTTTAGTGAGTTGCACATTTTTGGTCCCTTAACAATTTTTTGCACTTTTTTGATCCCTCAACTATACGAAATGCACTCCGTTAGTCCTTCTGTTAAATTGGAC